GATAATTTTGAGTGTTTGTGTAAGAACGCTATCGTGAGTACTATTTTTGCGGACAGAATCTCATAACTTCCTTCAAAAAATTGCTCAGCTGGAAGGTCGATTTGAAATCACCGCTGTAAGAATTAGTTAGTTGAACGTCTGTTATTTCTGACGACCAAGGTCATAAGTATTTTTCTATTTTCACGGACTCGGGTTAAATGTGCAACAGCATCATCAAACAGAGATGGCGCTATCTAAATAATTTGATCAAAGGTCCAGAATGTTGAAGTTTGCTACCTTACATTATTCGCTCTCGAAAGTCATGTCCATCCATATTAACTGGTGTTGTATTTCTGCGGTAGGCAAACAAACGCTACGCTAGTTTCAGAACTATATTTTCAAGCTAACGTGATTCTTTTATTCTTTTGTAGTGCAGTTTTTCTAAAATTCAAAGGAAAGCATATATGTCAGCTCTAAGGAGTCTGACAACGAGTGCAAGTTGAATTTTGTTGAGCCTTAGGATCTTGCAAGCGGCAGTCATGTGTATTCATGATGTAAATTTACAAAGTAACTTCTGGACGTCCTACCTTTCTCAGTGTACACAGTTGATCATGAGGAGTAACCCCCATTCGTCCCTCTCTTCTAGCATGTTTCAGGTTTACTTTTTTGCTTCCCCACCTGTTTATCAGCGTCAAAGTAAGACATTATCCAGAAATTTATTTGTTATTTAAAATCGTTGTATAATACATAAATAAATAAATATATGTCATATAATATAAATAAAAATTTGTGTTTATATTATGTGTGAATGAGCATGTTTCAGATGAAACACCAGTAAACTGTGAACGTTTTTTGAGAGCTGATGGCCTACATCTGTTCCACATGTGCTTTGATGCGTTCCGTAATGAACGGTATGTTCCACTCTACCTTTGTAATTATGGTTGTTTTTCCTAAAACCTTCCTCTTTTACTGTTTCAACCTGCGCAGGCTTTTTCCCCAATTTGTGTTGGAAATGTTTTCTTGCTATGGCGAATTTTTTTTGCAGAGAGTTGGTTCGCAATATGATGGGTTTGATAGGAAATATTGCTGAGGTTGACGGTCTGCGCTCTCAGCTGATGAACGACGATTATGTTAAAATTTTCTCGTTAGTTTTTCTTTGTTTAGTGTAAGTCCCAGTTGTGCAACTTAATTCAACTCTATGAAGGGCTCTTTTGGAGCTTGTGGAGGACTCTATCGAAATAAGCTACAACAGTGCTGGAGTCCTCGCTCACATGGTTAGCGACGGAGAAGAGGCGTGGAGCTGTCTAACAGTACGACGGGAACAAGTTATGGCTAGCATTGTTAAGGTAAGCAACATTAGAATGTTCTTTTTTTGTGATACGTCAAGCTGTAACATTTTAGGCAACCGAGTCGTGGAGGTTGGAGACGAAGCGTTTTATCAACTATCGCTCATTCCGACCAATTCTTCGTCTTTTGCCTTTATGGCATGCCTACGCCAGTCAGCATTGGGCTGTTTGGGCGTTGGCCAATTTAACGACCACTGACGGAGCCAAGTGAGTAGGACTTATGTATTACTGTAGCGATTTAGCAAACAGCAACATAGCTGTGTTTCATATTTCAAAGGGTTCCGAAGCCGGACG